CGTCTTTTCCAGGGTCGATTTCAACTAAATATTTCCATTTTAAAATGACAGGAAATTAGCAGATCTGGGCAGGATAGCAGAGGTACTTTAGGAAACGAAAAATATGCAAAATTAACCTACCGTAAGCCATGTCTCGGCCATCTTTTCTTCCCACGAATCATCCCTGTTGTCCAGAATATTCACAAAATTCGGATGATCGCGCCATACCTGAAAACGAAGGCAATCGGTTACGCTACGAAAATCTCCCAAAACTAATCGATTACGCCATGAAATGCTCAGAATAATCGATTACACCATTAAATACCTTTAGTGGGTCTTTAAGCTAGTTATTTTCGTTGGGTTTATTCGATTGCGCCAGTCAAATATATCAATAGACAACCGATTACGCTATGAAAAGACCCCGAACCCACCCTGGTGAATTCCTTGTTGATCTTCGCTGCGTGCTCATAGTCCTCCCGGCGGAATTTGTTCTTATTTGTGTAGTTGCACCTAGAAAGCTCTAGAATTTTTGCGCAAATTGTCTTTGCTAGGTATCCGGTTAAAGGGACGGGTAAGGCATGACTATGTGATTTTCGACGCTGGAGTTCCTTTCCAATCCCTTTAAAATTTCCATAAATTTACCTCGGTGCCGTTTGAAGCTGAATGACCTGATCGTAGCGAGAATACAGCGTTTCCTCGTCGGTTTGCAGTTTTCTAAAAATGTTCGTTTTTTACGGGTTCCAGGGGTCGAGAGTTCGACTCCGGCCCGCGGCAGACGTTTTGCGTTTTGAGTTGTCAGCAGATTTTCGAGTTTTTTTTGGTATGCAAATTAGCCTAGAATTCGGCTAAAATTTGTTTTAAAGAGTTTTAATGGTAAAAAATCCTCAAGAACAGGGTCGAGGGTTCGACTCCTGCCGGCGGCAGACGTTTTGCTTTTTGCATTTTTGTTACTTACTTGAGTATGTTGGTCCACATTGGCTCCGGGGTGAATACTTTCGGGTCGAGGGCTCCGCGATCACACAGAATCAGCGTGTGTTTCGTGGGCTAAAAGAGGCATTTCATGGCATAACGGGTTGTTTTCATTGCGTGATCAGTCGACCATTCTGCCGCGATTTTTACACAACCGCGATTTGCGATGTCTACGTTCCACGCCGTAATCAATTACGCTCCATTACCAAGAAAAATCCAAATTTCTAACCTCATTCTCGGCAATTTTCTCGAAAACGGCTTCAATTCGGATGATCATGGACAGCATATCGAGTTGCCATTGCTCCAGTTGGATGCTGAAATAGGATTACGGTAACTGGAATTGGGCGTAATGCGGAAACTAGCGGAACTTAGTAGCAAAACGTACTCATTCAGTTGACTACGCGCCACTCCGCCCGAATAAAGTAGACTGGAGGCTTCGGCGGCTTTGAAGACCTGAAAAAATGAGGATCTGGGCAGATAGCAGAGATTTTTTGAGGAATTGGAAGGGACAGGCTAGCAGAGATTTTTGAGAATAGTGCTCCCACCTGCCACTCGTTGCCGAATTCTTCATCGATGCGTTCGCATAGCTCTTCCATAGCCGTCGATTTACCTGCAATCGATGACGCCATGAAATTTACGGGGAAATCGTTAACATTTCGAAAATTTATTGGATTTTTGTGTTTTTAGAGTTTGAAAAGTGTCAACTGGAAGCCAAATTACCAAATAACAATAAATCTGATTTTTTCGGAACCGATTACGCCATCAAATACAGTTTAAAGGGGAGTGCAACCAACCTGCACATGGTCCCCCAGTCAGCGCGACTTTCAGCAGCTTCTTCCCGAATCGATTCGTCTTGGGGGCCGGGTGAAATTCGTCGAGGTCGGCGCTGATCAGCGGCCACATTATTTTCGAGTCTAAAAAAGGGGATGGAGGAAATAAAATTAAAAAGAGAAAATTTTTACATTTAACAAACATGGACGTTTTTCAAGCTACAAAATCCCAAATTATTTCGATCTTTCTAATTACCAAAATGTTTTGCAGGAAGTGGAACTCGAATTCAAAAATTGTTTCTAAAAGTAAAAGTTAACAACTCGGACTTATCTTTATCAATGTTTTTCAAAATTTAATAATTTTAAGAAGTAAAAATTCCACGCGGCACCTCGGACCGGACTTTGCGTAAAAAATGGCAAGAGTGGAGCCCGATCAAAGAAGTGAGGCAGAAAGGGCGAGAAAGCGAGAAGGAGAGAGAGAGAGAGAGAGAGAGAGAGAGAGAGAGAGAGAGAGAGACGATTGGCCGACTGGCTGACCAGACAAAACATCCACACTCATTCACACCCTACTCTTTTTTAACCCCCTTTCCGATCATTCGAATCATCGCAAAGTGACGGGATGAAAAAAGAGTTGCAAAAAGGATTATCGCCAAAATCCGGAAGTGGGCACTTTACGGAAAAATGGAAAAACGGATAATCTGATAGCCAGGCGAGCGAGCGGAGAGCATTCAATCTGATGGGATCCTAGCAAAACCGCTTTAGAAAATTTATCCGAACGCGAGTGACACAAAATCAATGAAATTTAGCGAACAAGCAGAGACCATTTGGGAATGGGGCACTCAAAAGCTAATTAAAACGACTAGCTCGCAGAAACCATTAGAGAAATGGCCTAAAAACCACTTGGCAAGCAAGCAGAAGCAATTTGAGGGTAGGTTCGCTGGCCAAACTAGAAGAATAAATTTGAGAATATGGCCAGATCAGCCCGTCAAATTGTGGCAAACCAGCAGAGACTATTTAACAAAACTGGGGCTGAAATTGACAAAAATCGATTTATCTGAAAGGCAAGGTAGCAGAGACCACTTGATGTAAGAAAATTCAGCAAAAAAAAGCTAATTTCGATAAAATTCCCCGAAAAATTCGGAACTCACCAGATGGAATGGAGGGCAGTGGGGGTCGGGGATTGGATGGCATTCTCGCGAGCGACTGATAAGCTGTGGAAAAGAAGAGGGAACCAATCCAGAGATTAGCATTAATTTACGCCGAACGCGATAGTCCTCTCTACGCCGCGGTGTGTCGATAGGAGCCGAATGGAACGGGAGTCGAGCTCAAAAAACACGATTAAGTTAAAAATGACCGCGAAATTTGAGAAAACAGAAGAGAAACGATTGCAGGAAAACAAAAATTGTTACTTTTTACAAATTTCCGAAGATTTTTGGACCTTTCTGACTTGCCAACGCTTTTAAAACATCAACTAAATCATCAAAAATTTCAAATCAGTTAAATCATCAAAAAATGGACTGCATTAAACTTGTGAAACACGCAAAAAAAAGCTGCTTTGAAAGTTAAAAATCGAAAAAATGGTCCCAATTTCTAGGTTACTTGCGTTTAGCCAATTTTAAACTTCTCAACGCCTTTAAATCGACAAATTGGCGTCGGGTTTTCGAAAATTTAGAAAATTTATATATTGATTTTAAAATATAAAGATATCTAAAAAATTTGGTGGTTAAGAAATTTTTGAAAGCAAAAAACGGCCGAATTTAACTCGTTAAAATCGCTGAATTCGCTGTGAAAATAAAAAATGCGATAGATCAATTTTCTAAACCTTAAATATTATCCGAATAGCTAAAAACTTTTAAAAAACCACGTTAAAGCCCGTGTTACGCAATGTAATGCCAGTCAGGAAATTGCTCTGGACGCCCAAAAATCTAAAAAAACACTTTTTTTTCAGAATTTTTAGCAGTTTCAGAGGTGAAAACTAGCAGATTTGGCCTTGTCAACACCATTAAAGCCACAAAATTGGCCTCCAGCTTCAAAAATTAGCAAAAAACGGCCGAATTTTACTTTTTAAACTGGCGGAAAATCATTTATTGGCTTAGAAACCAGTAAAAAAATAGATAAATCCATTTTCCAAAAATTAAAATTAATTACAAAGCTAAAAATACACAAAAAACCTCGTTAACGCCCGTGTTACGCAACGTAATGCCCCAGTCAGCAGGGCGATGGTCGGGGGGATGGGACAGGGGGAGGGGATCTGTTTGTTGTGTGCCCATATTGCCTTCCCGTTTTCGCTCTGTTTCTCTGCCCTCCCTCGCTTTCCCATACTTTCTCTTCCACGGCTTTGTGTGTGAAAAACATTTGGGCAATCGGCCAGCTGGCTGGCTGGCCGGCTGCAACTAAAGATTCTTGAGAACCCGCGAAATTAGGGGAAATTCGGACCAGCGCAATCGATTACGGCATAAAAATGGAAAACCTTGAATTTGCAGCGATTTTTCTGTAAAAATGATTTCAATACATTTATTGCAGGACAGTTAGTCGAGTTCCTACAGAAAAACAAAAATGACAAGTACGATTTTGCCGTTTCGGCACTAAAAACCGGGCCCCCAAAATTCCTGGGATAAATCGATTACGCCATGTAAATGGACGACCTCAATCTTGATTTCTGCCGGATTTTTCGTGTAAAATGATTTCAATACCTTTATTACAGGACAGTTGGTCGAGTTCCGAAAGAAAAGCTGATTATTTTGGTTCTGGACTGTTAGCGGGGGGGGGGAACAAATTTTTCACGATGATTCCATACGGCCTCATAACGAAAGATAAACCATTTTTATAGTATTTTACACAATTTTTAGAAATATAAAAAGTATAAGAAGTATAAAAATTCTATAAATTTTCGAAAATTTCAGACTTTTTGGTCAGAAATGTGCGAAAAACTTCGATTTTCAAAAGTTTTTCGTAATTTTCTGGTAATTAGATTTTTAATTCATTTCAAAAGGCTTTATTTCGACGAGAAAAAATTCATTAAACAAAGCATTAAAATATAGTTTTTTGAGCATAGTTTCTGCCCCTTTATAAAACCAGCAGAGACAGTTGACGGTAAAAACAATTGAGGTAGCGACGTTCAAGGAATTCGCTCTGGGACACGAGGGAATTATTTGAGGTACATGGAGTTGATGTGAAGTTTTGGCCCATAGATACAGAAGCTCCATCACAAAATATATTCTCGTTACGCACGAACAATCCGGCAGTGTAGCCGCCATCAGCCATCAGATCGAGAGGGTGGACCCAACGGTCGACGACACCTCGAGCTTTTGCCGAGTCTTCTGATTGCCTGAAATTTCGAATTTAGAGCTATCAACCAGACTGTTACGGACCGAGCTAAAAACAGCCAAGGTCGCCAACGACGTTCCCGGTCGTAACGGAAACAGCGCGACCTGTATAGAATTTTTTGACTGCCTAAGCACTTCTGGTTTTTCATTAAAGGGGCTCGGAGGCCAAATTCGCGCTTGCGGGGATTGAACCTACTGATCAAAACGAATAGGCCGCTGCCGAGAAGTACCAGCAAATTGATTTCGTTGCGAAAAACGTAAAATATTTGAGAAAAACCGAAAAGTTCTTGGGGGCGAAAACGACTTTTTGAATGGGCGACGATTACATGTCGTAAGGCCTTGTAAGGCACCCGATCTCTCGATCGCGGTGATTCTCCGGCCAATTTTGCTATTAAAAAGTCTAGAATGATCAAAATTCGATGAGGATTCCAGAAATAGCGTCAGAATTTGAAAATGCAAGCGCATTCACGTCGAAACAGGGACAAAAGTTCATGCGGCGCGATCGCGTTGCGGTCGCAACTGGCTATTGGCCAGGAATCAACCCCTTTAAATTGATCTTTTATATTCTCACCGTTTCCTAATTTTTAGTTCTAGGAATACAGTTCTCTTCAACACTGAGGCGCGTGGACCACATTTCGGAGCCGCTTTCACAAACCAAAGCCGAAGCCCAAACCACTACAGAAAACACCGTTTATCTAAAAAACTATGCGTCGGTGGCAAAGATTTTCTACAGATTCGGAATCAGCGGAAAAAACTGGTTTAGAGGTCAGGTGGATCAATAGCCGATGGAACTTTCGCTTCGCGACGTGCGCTTGTAAGACTGATTGAGAAAACAGAGAGTAAATAATTAGATCATTACGAAACACTCGGTTTTGGACCCGCGCAACTTTTCGCTTATTCAGACACGTTTCTCCGTTTTTCTCACCTAAACATTACGTCTAGCTCCGCTCCTTTCTCCTTAAGAAGCCGCGTCGCGTTGTCGACCCGTTGACAGAAACCCTCCACACCGGGTTCCGCGCGAAAGACGTGAATCGTGTATCCGGCCATTTCCGGGATTTCCAGATAATTGTATACGGTGGTGTTGAAGACGTGGTAGACACTGTCGCGTTCCCAACTTGACGGATGTGCAAAAACTTGGTACGAGAAGCTGAAAAAGCAAACGCATTTTTTCTAGAAAATTATTTCTCGGTGTTAGTTAAAAACTGCGATTCTATTTTTTTGTAAATCCTACCGCTTAGCTCCGCGGCTTTGAAAGATCTTTTGCACGGCAGCGGCCGCGATTTCAGTGGAGGTAGGCTTCTCCTGATCAAGCGCTTCGTACGCGTATTCCATCTGCAGCAGCGGCCAGGAGAGCTCCTAAAAAGCCGTCTATCTAGGCAGCCAGAGCTTTTATTAATGCGCCAAGTATCTCAAAATGTTCGCCGTGATTCAAAGGCCATGAAAAAATAGTTTTGTAACCTGAAAAATCCTCAAAAAACCTCTACAGCGGCCGAAAGTAAAAAGTTCAAGTTTGGCGCCAGAGCTCCAACTTTGACCTTGTATTTGCTGTCTTTGCAGCTACAGGGCTCTAAAATATACCAAAATGTAGCCCTTAACCTGGAGAATCCTATAAAATTTAAACAACGTTAGAGAAATTAATTCAAGCCAAAAATTACCATGAAAACCGAACTACTTAATTTCAATTTGGCAAGACCTTGGCGTTGTCGCGGAAACTCATTTTTCTATCTTAAAAAAACCATATTTTAAAGCTCCTATTTTTTAAAATAGACCTCAGTTTTTTCCATCCAATTTATCGTGTAGTTCACGATTTCGGAAATCATCCTTGCGACCTCGGATCGATCGGAGTCCATTTTCTCCTGATCGCCATCGTGGACGACGTTCAGGCAAGCAGATGTATAGAACATCTAAAGTTACGTTAAAAAACTTCACAAAAACTAGCTTAACCGGCGTATATAACGTACCACTTTTCTCAGTGTTTCCTCCAAGACCAACATTTGATGGTCCAGCGTTGAGCGGGATGCGCGATTGAGCTGGTAGAGGGCATCCGAGGCGCAGCTAAAGTTCGCTTTCCCTCTGTCTCTCTCTCTCTCTCTGTCTGTCTGTCTGTCTCTCTCTCTCTCTCTCTCTCTCTCTCTCTCTCTCTGTCTCTCTTTTCTCTCTCTTCTCTCTCTCTCTCTCTCTCTCTCTCTCTCGCTTTATCCTTACCCAATCGGCAGCAGTGTAAGATCTGGCATATCTAAATTTCAGCATAATTTTTGACCCTGAAAAACTCACACAAGAAGATCACCTCGAGCTGCTCGATGGTCTCGGGTTTTTCTGTAAAAGGAAAGTATGATAATTAAAGTATGACAATCAGAGGTAGACGGGGAAAAGCTGCTTCAGAAGCTTAAATGGACAACGAAGTCTGGTCCACACCCCTCGGCGCAGACACCTGGCAAATAGCCACATGCGACGGCAAGGCGACCGCCTTTTTGGACGTGAAAACGCTTGAATTTCAACATTCTGATGCTATTTTTGGAATCCTCGCCGAATTGTTATTGTAATTATAAAAATGGTCCCAGAACTGCCGAGATCGAGAGATTGGGGGGCTTACAAGGCATTACGACATGTAATTCAAGCGGCCCCAAGGAGTCAAATCCGCCTTAAAAATTTCGCTTTTTCTAAAATATTTCGTGTTTATTCGCAATTAAATAAATTTGTCTATCCTTTGGGGTTTTCCTTTCTTTTTTTGGCCATAGGACCAATTCGCGAAAACAGAAATTTTGAATTTTTAACCTCTTTAATTTAACTATGGTTTTTCGCTTAAATAACGTACCCTGACGAAGCATATTGATCAGCTCCGTATCACTGGTCAAGTTAAGGATGTATTCTGGAAATGAAACGTAATACGATCGACAATAAAGGCCTACTGCTCTTGTGGACGTGATAGTCTTGCATGAGTTCCGGCATCATCTTTGGCGCTGAAAACAGAAGGACATAACTTGAAAATGATCTTTCCAAACGATTGATAAAGCTCGTTTTAAAGCGCACGTTCAGGGAGGGGCCGTGTACTCGTCCCAACGTGTACACCCTATGGACGTAGGGACCGCGCGCACGGCCTGCCCGTGGCGTGGCAGGCCATTCCCCTTCTTTGCGGCGTGGGGCGACCCCTCGCTCCCTCGCCAGGTTATAGCTGTGGCTGACTGGTATCCATCCGCGCCTCCCGAGCGGGGGGCCCGGGTTCGATCCCCGGCCGCGGCTAAAACTTTGCTTTTTTCCAAAAAAAAACGTCCCTGTACGTGCCCTTTAAAGCTTTCTGAGCTTTCTAAGCTCTTTTTTAAGCTTTTTTTAGAAGTACTAAATAGTTTTTGAAAATTCGAATACTGATTGAGGAGCAGATAAGTTTCAAACGTACATTTCACTTCGATACGTCTGAACGCCTTCAGGGCGTTGACGGTACGTAGAACTTTGTCTAAAGTAGGCATCGGGCAGGCGTCGACGAAATATCTTCGAATGACCTTAAAAAAATGGTCGATAAAAACCTGGCTAAAAGCTGCAAACTACGCCAGGTCCAACAAGGGAAAGACAAGAAGTCAGGCTGAGATTTGGAATGGGACCAAGCCCATCCTGGGTAGAATTTTGAACTGATCACGAATCCGGTTTCAGATTTTCCGGGATGCCGATATTTAAGAAGATACGGCTGCTCCTTGGCGCCGTTTTTCCAAATTCGGACTTTAGAGGCCATGTGAATCCTTTTCAAAAATTTCGAAAACTTATTTTGTTTCTGGAATAAACAGAAAAATGTTCAGGAATCAGGCATTCGAGAGGGCGCCTTTTCTGAGTTATCCGCTAGTTAAGTTTCGTCAGGTATTATTCCATGGCATTTTGAAGGGACTCTAAAGTTCGAAAGGCAAGAAGTCTGTTAAAAATGCAACGTGGGCTTTCTAAATCCGGCCATCTCGGAAAATCTAAAACGGGTTTTTCGGTATTCGGTATTTTCTCCTATTTTGTCGGGATTTTTGCAACGCCATTCGATAGAGCGTCGAAAAATATACTACGAGTTTGAATTTAAGCGTACAATAACGTAAAATAAAAAAGTTATAGCCAAGAAATTCCGTCTGGGGGGGGGGGGTAAAGTAACCCGTGGGGTTCCGGCACTAACCCGCAACTTTTCGAAGTAGTCCCATCGCCGGCAGGCGCTTAAAACATATTGTTGGTCGTCGGCCGGTTCCGGGAGTAAAAACCGTAACTTGAACATGGTTTCAACGGGGATGAAGCGGTTGCGGATGGCCTGAGAGTGGGAGATACGTATTAAACGAGATGTTATGCTCTTCATACCGAATTCCAATCATAGACCGTCTGATCATCCCACACAAAACCCGTTCTATGCGCTATAGTTGCCATTTCTGAAAAAAAGAAAAAACGTCGCCTTGCCTAAATTCTCGTTTAGGGGAACTTTTCAGAATATCGCAGGCTAGAAAGTCGACCTCTCAAAGAGGAAATTTCTACAGGATGTCCAAATAAAAAAACACTCTCCTCTAACTCGACGCAGAAATATGGGCTCGGAATGATAGTGACACCATTCGAAAGCCCTTGAAATGGCGAGTTTGCAACAATCTTCAAAACCACGTTTTGGTACTGTTCTATTTCGCAAGGGGGAAGAACTGTGCGGGGGGGGGGGAATGTTCTTCGTATAAACCTTGTTTTTGCTATAACTATTTTACGAAACAATATTTTTACATGAAATTAAAACTCTTAGGACATTTTTCGATGCTCTATCGAATGGCGTTGCAAAAATCCCGAGAAAATAGCGAAAAGATGGAAGTTTCCGCGAAGCATATCCTCCCCCCCCCCCCCCCCCGCGAAATAGAACGGAACCCATGTTTTTATTGAAACGCACAATTTTACAAAGCCTTGAGATACATCAGGGGACGGCCTCTTCATGTAAATTAACGCTTACTTCCGGTCACTTTGCTTGGCGAAATTGAGGCAAATTAGCCCCGATACTTGCATGCAACCGCCGAAAAACAGCAAAATTTTACAAAATGGCTCGTAAAATAGCGGCTTAAAATAAAAACATGGTTTTCAAGCGTGTAGGAAACTGGCCGTTTAAAGGGCTTTCGAATGGTGTAACTATCATTCCGATCCGATACTTCTGCGTCGAGTTAGAGGGGCTGTTTTTTTATTGGGACACCCCGCATAGAGGGACAGAACCGGCTCATTTTCGTTTTTTTGATGGGATCCGGGACGAGCCATGCAAAGTAGGGGACGAATCATGGTTCCGAGACGGGGTCAGGTTTAAACAGCCGCGAAGCGGTTTTTCAATTACAACGAGGGGAAATTGGCCAAAAGATCAAAATTTACAAAATTTCGTTGATTGTTTCATCAAGTATTTCTTAGAAATGGCGAAAAGGTCAAAATGTAGTTGCACCGTTACAGTTAGACCGTAAGTAACACCACAATGTCGCCCGCAATCAGGCAAATAACGTATTCCAGGAATGAAATAATACGAGAAACGTTAAAAAAGGATCAGGTGAATTTAAAGGCCGTCAGAACGATGAAATTCCGTTGAGAGCAAGAAAGTTGCGCACCGGGCGGAGGTCGAACCCGCGATGGTTCGCTCCACAGGCCGACGCGCTAGCCACTATACCACAGGGCCAAGCGTGGAAGGGAGTCAGAGGCGCCCCAAACCCCAGAGGGTTGTTGCCCAATACGGGACACCACTAATGACGACCCTCTCCGCGCGTACTTGGGGGCCCCACCCTTGGGGTGACAGTGTGCGTTCCAGAGTTCTAGTAGTCTTTAAACAAACTTTGGTCCCGCTCCTTCATCCAAACTGCCAACTCCTTGCCCAACTGCACTTCCGGGCTGTCGGGCTATAAAAGGCATTTTGATCCGGTGGCCATCCCACCGGTAAAAACCTAATAAAGAACGACTTGGAAAGACCAACCTCAAGCGTCGTCTTCACACTTTTTAGAACAAGATTTCCGATCGGTTCTCCAGTGTTTAGAATCGTGTCGATCATCCCGGCGAATTTTCGGCCCCTTTCAATGGCATCAACACCCGTGTGGATATCTCCCCAGGCAGCCATGTATTTTGAGAATTCCTGCGACACTGAAAATTTTTGGTGTTTACAAGTATGGTTAGAGCATCACAGGTCCGTGCATCCACCCGAAATCCGTGTCGATTCCACCTGGAAATCGGGTGGAACGCTTGGAAATCGGGTGGAAATCGAGTGGAAACGCGAGGATGACGCCGAGCGGACGCGAGTGGTCAGTAGAAATCAACTGGAAACCGAGCGGATCCTCTTGGTTTCCACCCGAGATCCAGTCGGGCCCGTGTTTCCACCCCAAATCCACGTGGACAGCGAGTGGAAATCGAGTGGAAACCGAGTGGATCCGCTCGTTTTACACCTGATTTTCCAGTCGCTATGGGAAATCGACTGGATTCGGGGTGGGTCCTGTGATGGATCCGACCACGCGCCGGCCGGAAAACGGCACTGGCTCGACTTTTCGGCCCGAAAAGGGACCGGAATCGGCCGCAGAAATCATTTTCAAGAGCATTCGTAAGTTTACAAGAAGGAATAACTTACAGTTCTGGCCCTTGATGCAGCTTGCCATTAATAGCAACAGAAACGCCAGCACGACAGATCGGCGCCACCCCATTTTCAAAACGCCACCAAGGACGCAAATTGGCGTCGCTTCTGCAAAAAGTGGACTGGCTCGAACCTTATAAAATAAAAGAGGCCAAGTCGGGGATGTTGCGCATCATGGCACCCAAAACAAAAGAGTTTAGGGCCACCAGCTGGCAGCCAATGTTGCCTTCTGATGGGCAGATGGCCCCTGGAGGGAGCATAATGCTTGCTAGTCACCAGCATGATGGCCCCTGGATTGTGTGGATCAGGTCCCTGAAACCCAGAAATAGCTCGGGAAAGCCAAAACGTTTAATTGCTTTTTGAGGTTCTAAAATGAGCTTGATGGAATACGGTCTTACGGAGATATCATACCAGATAAAAGTCATCTTTAGTTTTCAAATACGGAAGCAAATTCCCAGGCAGTACCCTAATCGTCAGTGTCCATGGCATGATTTTGGTGCGCTTAAAAATCAGGCTTCCGAAGCGATACGCAACTCCGTAAATACCGTACCAGAAAGACCCGGCCCCGCTCTGTGAAATAAAAAATGAAATTCCGTTGCATGACGCTTCGGCGTCATAAGGAATGGCTCGGAAAATCTGGAAAGTTCGCAACTTTTCCATTTTGGAATCCTCAAAAACTGTTTCCCGCTCGAGTACGGTATTGCAAGAGTAGCAGCGTCAATAGGAATGGCTCGGAACGGCCAAGAAAATGTTAAAAATACGCTAAAATAAATTTTGGTTGGATAACTAGTCCTGCCCTTTGAAGTAAAACGTTAAAATACGTTACAGTACCCCCCAGACGTCCATAGTACTGTCTCGTAAGCCCAGAAAAATCCGTATCTCTGAGGCACTTTATTAAAACTCGGGGAATGGACAGGGGCGGGGGGCAATCGATCGATATTTGATGTGGGGAGGGCATGGGGCAGAAAATCAATCAATAAATCGGATCAATACATCAATCAGACAGAGAATTGGGACGGGGGAAGGGGGATTATCGATTTTTCTGCCGATATATTGATCGTTGTGGAGGGGTGCGCCGCGGGTTACGGTATCTCTTCGTCTTCTTCCGCTTTTTCTTCCCGTTGTACTCTCGTCTCCTTCTACTTCTGGATCACCGACTCTTTCATCTGAAAAACGTGCGAAACTTTGCAAAACGGAAAAATTAAAAGTACTAAATTTTGGTGCTTTTGCATTAACGGGGGGGGGGCTTATCTCAAGGATCTAATTATAAATGAAGGAAATGCCTCTAAATCGTATTTTTTATATTCCTAAGCGCAAAAACTTTACAAATTTTGATAAAACAAAAAAAAAATCGATTTTCGAAAAAAATGTCTAAAATTCAAGCGATAAAATTTAATTAAGGTGTTTAAAATAAGCTATTGGTTTTTAGTTAAAATGAACCTATAAAATTTATTCTAGATTAATTTAATTTAAAAGAAACACCGAATTTTTGCGGACTAATTGCGATTTTTCAAGTGAATTTCCGTTTAAAAAATTTTCTTTGAATCCTGGAAAGGTAAATTATTCTTTCCGTTAAAGTCTAATTTTCAAAAATTTTAATCTCAATTTATAAGCAATTTAAAAATTTTTAAAGTTTTAAAAATATACATTTTTAATCATCGCCTTTTCAAAACTTTAACTTCGAAAAACCGAATTTTCGCCGATATAGTTGCGTTTTCAAAGTTAATTTCGGTTTATAAAGTTTCTTTGCATTTTTGAAAGTTAAATTATTCTTTCAGCTAAAACGAAATTTTCGAGAATTGGAATTCCAATTTTGAAAAATTCATAAAAATGTTTAAACGTACGCTCGAGTCCAAATTGACGTCATCCTTGCAGTGTAGCGGCAGATAGTCATTCGGATCAGTGGGTGGCTCGTGGCCGCCTCCAATTTTGATGCCCATCCACGTCTTTCCGCCCTTTCCGCCCTCTCCGTCCATGGCGGAGCATTGCGTAGCGTCAATCGGCAGGCGGCTGGTCGTCTTTTTGTGCTTGCTGTGGTGCCCTTTTCCATTAGCGGGGGGTGGGTTGTTGTCGGCTTGTTTTCGGGAGGAGGACGACGCCGAGGAGGTCGAAGGGCTGGAAAAACGACGAATTTTGGGGCAAATGGTCTTCGCTAGTTTGCCCAAGGGGGCAAATAGGCTAACTGGCAGACAGAAAAGCTAATATTGCTTCTCAAATGTTCTCTGCTGGCTTGTCTGACTTTTGGATGGCTATTTTGTTAGCTGGCATCCAGTTTGCATATTTTCGGTTCCCAAATTTCTCTGCTAGCCTGCCTGCCGTTTTCTATCGCTATCTCGCCAAACTGGCACCCAGGGTCTATGCTTTTGATTCCAAAATGATCACTGCTAGCTTGCCAACGTTTTTCAATAGCTATTTCGCCAAGCTGGCACCCGGTCTATCGATTTTCGCCTCTCAAATGATCTCTGCCAGCCTGCCCAAAGTTTTTTAAACAGGCAATCGTCAAATTGGCAACCGGTCTATCGATTTGCGCTTCACAAATCACTTTGCTAGCTTGCCACGTGCCCTGATCCCCCGAATGCCTTACGTGCTCTTTCCACTGCCCCGCTTCCGCCACAGCAGCCAGAAGATGACGGCAAAGATGGCGATCAGCAGCAGAAGCACTGAAAATCGGCCCATTTTTCGTATTTTGTAGTCTGTAGTTTGCAGTCTATTCGACAGACTGCAAACCACCATAAAAGAAAGCGAGATTACAGACTACAAATTTCAAAGCGAAACACACACCCAGTTGTTGTAGTTTGTAGTAAGAATTCTTACCACGAACTTCAACGATAAAAACCCAATGACAAACTACAAACTACAAGCCACAACTACAAAACGGAAGGATAGGCCGTAGTCTACAAACCATAAAACAGCAGCAGTAATTTGTAGCTTGTAGTTTGTAGTATGATCGCGAGGCTACAAAAGAAAAAGTTTAAAAACTATAGACCAGAAACTACCAAACCACGGACCACCTATTTCGATGCAAAACTACACACTACAGGCTACAAATTCAATAAAACGTTTCAAACTACAGACTACAAACTACACCGCACCTCCGATGACGAGCACCGCCCACCACGCCGATGGACCCTCCTCATCGGGTAGACGGGTGAATGTCTGTAACAACAGGGTCGACACCTGCCACCGTACCGTACCTCCGGATCGGAATCTCCTCCCTGTAGTTTCGGGCTGACAAAGACCGATGGATCACGAAGAGAGAATGGGTTTGTACGGCAATTCAGGAATCGATCCTGCGCCACGATGGCTGCTTGCTCGTTCTAGAAACATTTGGCAAATTTTCAGCTTTAAAGGGAGTGTGACGGCCAGATTTTCGAAATCCTTCTGAAAAATTAGTGAAAAATCCGGCAAATTACAGAGTACAAAATTTGGTGTCATTTTTGTGGACAGCCATGATAGAAAAGGTTCTGGCTAAATTTCACTTTACGGTAACTAAATAAAATGTCGTTTTTTCGATTGGAATCGATAGATCTCGTCGAGTTCTACCATTTCCAGTTGAAAAAACTATTGGGACTCGCTTCTAAAAAAAGTTATAAACATTTTAAATTGGCTAGTTCACTTTACGGTAACTAAATAAAATGTCGATTTTTTAACTGAAATCGATAGATCTCATCAAGCTCTCGCGTTTCCCGTTGAAAAAACGATTGGGACTCGCTATTAACAAAAGTTATAGCTGTTTTAAACCAATTCACCCCGCATCGAAAAAGTCGATTTCGGCTACGAGGGACCCCTTTGTACGGAAAAAACGTAATAGTTGTGAACGTACTGGGGTACCAAATACGGGGCCGCTGCAAAAGGCGCAGGAAAAACTTTATTAGCACACATTTTGCACCTCCTCCGAATTTATAAATTTCTGAAACATCAAAAAGACGGTTTTGCAACAGGAGTCACTCGATTTGGAGGGAAATGACCGCTACTTCCTCCGCTCTGCGACTAGAAAAAGGCTTCGTGCCACCGGGGGCCTAGTCGCTTCGGATGGGTGCGAGCTCGTACAGGGTTTCGAAATGGGGGCGCCAAGGCCGGCGAAGCGGCCGGGGGCGCCCCCATTTCGAAAGAGTGGAGCGGCAGCCCATCCGAAGCGACGGCCCGCCTTGCCTGACAATTTCACAGTCAAAAATGTCAAAAATATAGTGTAGCTTCCTCCGAACAACTTTCCCAAAGGTTTTTATAACTGTAAATGCCAGAACTCGACGATATCTATTTATCGCAGGCGAAAAATCGCATTTTTACGAGGTTACCGTAAAGTGAACCAACCACTTTAAACCGTTTATAACTTTCGTTAAAAGCGGGTCCCAATCGTTTTTTCAACTGGAAATGGTAGAACTCGACGAGATCTATCGATTCCAAGCGAAAAATCGAGATTTTATTTAGTTACCGTACAGTGAACTAGCCAATTTAAAATGTTTATAACTTTTTTTAGAAGCGAGTCCCAATAGTTTTTTTAACTGGAAATGGTAGAACTCGCCGAGATCTATAGATTCCAATCGAAAAATCGAGATTTTATTTAGTTACCGTAAAGTGAAATTTTCCCAAGGTTCTTTAGGAAGAGAGAGACAGCGAGAGCGAGAGGGCGATAGAGAGACAGAGAGAGAAAGAGCGACAGAGAGAGAGAGCGAGAGAGAGAGAGAGCGAGAGAGAGAGAGAGCGCGAGAGCGTGAGCGAGAGCGAGTAAGACAGAGAGAGCGACAGAGAGAGGGGATAGAGAGAGAGTGAGGCAGAGAGACAGCGAGAGAGAGCGAGAGTGAGCGAGAGAGAGAAAGAGAGTGCGAGAGCGAGAGAGAGAGAGAGAGGCAGAGAGGGAATGGGAGAGAGCGAAAGAGACAGAAAGAAAGAGAGAGGGAGCGAGAGAGAGAGAGTGATTCTCAAAAAAAACCCACCGGCAGTTTCCCCTTGATGCACTTCGGATATCTGTAGAGATTGCTGTCATTCGCTTCGGGTGTCCATCCGATACGCAGATTCTCCTCCTCCGTCAGAAAGCTGGCGAACGGTGGCGACTGCAAAATTCAGGGATTGGTGCGTTATCGGGGGGGGGGGGTAATTTAAGAAAAGTAGAATTTAATGGTACTGCACTGTTAGCGGGGGGAGGACCTTCAAAAAGTCCAGCACCGAAATCTTTACGGAAGCCGAGCCGGGAAACCCTAAAATTAATTCATTGCCGGCCCCTTGAAAGTTACAGTATCGCCTCCAAAGCTACCGTACCCTCTGTCGGAATGCGGTGTAGATGTGCCCATCGGAATCGAGTACATCATACGGGATACAATGTGGATACATGCCCGTCCCATTGTATCGACAGATCATCTGGCAGCCAGAGCTTTTCTCCTTAAGCGTCTCCGACGTCATCACGGCCCTCACCTCATCCGGCCACCTGAATTCGTCGAGTTTGTGGTTTGCTAGAAATTTGCTAGGCAGGCTAGCAGAGATTCTTTGAGGAATTGGAGGGGATGGATGGGGGCAGGCTAGCAGAGATTCTTTGAGGAATTGGAGGGGATGGACGGGGGCAGGCTAGCAGAGGTTCTTTGAGGAATTGGAGGGGATGGACGGGGGCAGGCTAGCAGAGATTCTTTGAGGAATTGGAGAGGATGGGGGGGCAGGCTAGCAGAGATTCTTTGAGGAATTGGAGGGGATGGACGGGGGCAGGCTAGCAGAGGTTCTTTGAGGAATTGGAGGGGATGGACGGGGCAGGCTAGCAGAGGTTCTTTGAGGAATTGGAGGGGATGGACGGGGCAGGCTAGCAGAGATTCTTTGAGGAATTGGAGGGGATGGACGGGGGCAGGCTAGCAGAGGTTCTTTGAGGAATTGGAGGGGATGGACGGGGGCAGGCTAGCAGAGGTTCTTTGAGGAATTGGAGGGGATGGACGGGGGCAGGCTAGCAGAGGTTCTTTGCGGAATTGGAGGGGATGGACGGGGGCAGGCTAGCAGAGGTTCTTTGAGGAATTGGAGGGGATGGACGGGGGCAGGCTAGCAGAGGTTCTTTGAGGAACTGGAGGACCGTACCATGATCCACAGACGGCCCTGGGGATTTCTCCTTTGGGTGTGGGACGCCTGGGATTCATCGGTGAAAATGGGACATCCTTGGTGAATGTGACCAGCTCGAGGGGAAAGATGTTGTCGGTGGCATTTAACTGCGAAAATCCGGCGGCAATGTGGAGGCTTGGCACACACGTCTTCAGCTCCGCTATCTTCCTAAAAAAATTTTGTGCGGTTTGGGGTCTGAAAAAACATTCAGCGCCCAGCTTTTGATGAAAAAGCGGTTCTTTCGCATTACCGGGGGGGGGGAGCGTGATTTTTCCCAGAAGCCCATAAAAGGCTGCTAACGTATATAATAGTACGTATTTAATAACGAAGCTAATAAAATGTTCTAATTTATTTCGAATGGAAAAACACTTTTAAACAATTCAAAATCCGCCCCCGCCACCAATAATCGATAATGGAAAACAACTCTTATCGTATCAGACCCAAATGGATCTAATTCATTAGCGGGGGGTTGCTGGAGGCCGCGCCCATTTCCAATTCTGATCCCACTAGGTTTGTCGCAGAATCCCCCCGTTACCGCACCAGATCCAAAATTCGTCCCCCCCCCCCGATAATGACAAAGTTACCGTAAAAAATCTCGAAAAATATCCCCCCGCTAACGCACTAGTAACCTGAAAATTGTTATCTAAGTAGTTTCGGCAAAGGTAATCCCCCCCGCTAAAAACTCAGTAACAAAGCGACCCACTGTGGCACGGTGAAGCCGGCATCGCAATGCAGATAGTAGTCGGTGGTGAGTATCGGTGCTGCCGGGTCGTAGGGTTTGGCCCGGGCGCTGCGAGGGGGATGTATTTTCTTGCAATAGCTAAACTGTCATACATTTGAGCCATTGGACATTTGTTGTCGATGAGCATTTGTCGTGTGCACAGATTGAGGGGGAACAGGACCCATTCTCCTGGCGACACTTCCACCGGGCGAATGCACGTCTTGGTAGCGGGTGTCGATGGCGCCTGCAAAATATTCGTTTTTCGGAGCTTTCCCATTATCGGGGGTGTGGGAAACCAATTTTTGTGTTAGGATCTAATTTTTAAAACCTAAATAGTGGATGCGTTTTTTAATGATTTTTACTATTCCTAAACCTGCAAACTACTAAATTTTTGTAAAAAAAGACAAAAATCTTGCGAAATGCGGGAAAAAGGACCCACACAAAATAGGGAGGATACGGTGCAGTCGGCGTCGATTTGGGGAAAGCCACCAGATGAGAGAGTGATTCCCGAGCCAATCGAACAAACAACCGATGCAGGCACACACTTGTCGCACTAAAAAAATACGGATAGAAATCATAGCCTTCCGCTAACGTGTCTGGCACAGGACGCGGTAAGAGTCTAGGAAACCCCCTCCCCAAAGCCGCAACTTTTCAGCCATACGTCCTATTAATGCGCAAAGTATCTAAAAATGTTCGCCGTGCTCGAATTACTCTAACAGAAATTGTTTCCTGACGCCAAAAATTGCTAGAAAATTTTTTACTAGCTTTTCAAAAGTGAAAAGATAAGTCGCGATGCTTCAATGTACCACGGGTTTCAAACTCAAAAATTTTAATTGTTCGCTAATTTTTTTGACTCAAAGGTACTGTAGGCTTATTCTACGGATCAAGAGCTACATCTTGAGACCATCCACAGCTCTGTAGGACAAAAGATAGCCGAGATACGAAACTCACTTTAGACTATCAAAAAGTGACTAAAGAAAACACAGTCTTATAATCGTTAGAAAATTTTTCTAACAAATGTTGATGTAAGGGAACAACTTTTTTAGAGTAATTCGACCACGGGGAACATTTTGAGATACTCGGCGCATTAATAGGACGTATGGGTGAAAAGTTCTGGCTGCTTTGGGAGGGGGAGGGGCTATCTCTGCTCCCCGTTATCCTACAGGTGTGTTAAGTATACCAAAATACTCGTGAGAGCAAGACGAACATTTTGGTATACTTTACACACCTGTAGACCAACAGAGAGCCGAGATACAAAGGCAAAACCGCCGGGCAAACCGTCGTACCAAGAAGTGGTGTTCCTTATGGTATTTGATGAAGTCGGGATAGTCCTTCATCAGTCCCTCTTTTATCAGCCATTCATACGCATAGCACACCCACGGACGCGGCTCAGAACACTGAAATTTGAACGGTACTGAACTGTTAGCGGGGGGACCAAGTTTTTCCCTGTGTTTCTCTACGGTCCCACAACAAAATATAAACCATTTTCATAGCATTTTACATAGTTTTTTAGATAGAAAAACAATACAAAAATGATTGCAACTTTCGGAAATTTTGAGCTTTTTGTTCAAAAATGTATTTGGCTAAATTTGCTTATACGGTCACCTACTCAAAACCCAACTTTTGATATGTCAAAATGCTCAGCAGGACGTGCTGGTGCAAGATCCGTTGAGAAAACTTGGCGGCAAAAGCTCTATCTCGAGATACACGACTTCGAAGTTGGCTAGTGTCGTATCCGGTCACCTACTCAAAATGAGGCTTTTGATACGTCAAAATGCCCAGCAGGACGAGTTGGTGCGAGATCCGTTGAGAAAACTTGGCGGCGAAAGCTCTATCTCGAGTTACACGACTTCGTAGTTCAAGATACTGACTTCGAAAAACCGGTTTCCCTGATCGATAAGATCAAGGACGGTTTTGCGACAGGAGTCACTCAATTTGGAGGGAAAGTAATTGCTACTTCTTCCGCTCTGCGACTAGAAAAAGGCTTCGTGCCACCGGGGCCTGGTCGCTTCGGATGGGTACGAGCTCGTACAGAGTTTCGAAATCGGGGCGCCCGAGGCGCGCGAAGCGGCCAGGCGCCCCGATTTCGAAAGAGTGGAGCGGCAGCCCATCCGAAGCGACGGCCCACCTTGCCTGACCATTCTCAGCACGTGTGAATGTGTGAAAAAAGTAAATGTGTGTTTAAAAACGTGCTTTTGATCAATTACGTAGGTTTCCGAATTTTCCTTTGGAATTTGTGCTGTCTTTTGGTGCTTTGCGTACTACTGACACACTCAATTTTTCGCCATTTTGGTGCTTTTCTTTTGTGATATCTCGAGATAGAGCTTTCGCCGCCAAGTTTTCTCAACGGATCTCGCACCAGCACGTCCTGCTGAGCATTTTGACATATCAAAAGTTGGGTTTTGAGTAGGTGACCGTATAAGCAAATTGGCTAAATTTAAGTATACGGTCACCTAGTCAAACTCAAACTTTTTATATATAGAAATGTTCAGCTCGACGAGCTGGTTCAGGATCAGTTGAAAAAACTATTGGGAAACACTTCTGGAGCGAGATATAGGCGTCCAAAGTTTTAACAACAAAAGGGCCAAAAAAACGCCCATTTCCTTTGGATATTTCGCTCTAATACACTCAAACTTTACCTAAAAATAAGGCTTCGTGCCACGGGGCTTCAGTCGCTTCCGGATGGGCGCGAGCTCGTACAGAGGTTTCGAAATGGGGCGCCAAGGCCGGCGAAGCGGCCGGGGCGCCCCATTTCAGAGTGAAACGGCAGCCCATCCGAAGCGACGGCCCACCTTGCCTGACAATGTGAAAAGCCTCACCGTTACCTTTACAGGGTGGCTGAAAAGTTCCCGCAATTTCTTCTAGCAGGTCAATAGACGGAAAATTCCTAAAATTTGACTGAGGTAAAGCAACAGCAACTTTATTTACTACGTAATCAACAGATTACAACCCAAAAATCCGCAAGAAATGTTGACGAATTCCACCAGTAGCTGAATAGAAGCGCGCAGGCAGCCATGAAAATTGCCGGCCATGGTCGCGCCCTCCCGGTGAGCAAGGAGGCGTCAATGTTTTCGCCATAGAATCGAGCCGGAACGGGCAAAATCATCGTAAACTCTTCAAAAACGGTTAATACAGGAGTCTTGGTCTATCATTCCCGTTTTCCGAGAGTTTTGATGATTTGATTAGAAATCTAGAGCCCCAGTAACCCATAAACCGTTTTCGTTCAAAAAAATCTAAAAATCGAAGTCACCGAGCATTAATATCAAGCCCTTAGGATCGTTGCAGAGCCATGAATTAAGCAATCTTTTAGTTAAAACGTTTTCACGCTTAAGCAAGACTGGACACAAGGTTTTCCGGCCCGTTCAACTATCACCCTCAGGGGAAAGTTGCAATCGCGTTTTTGCGGCTTTGATGTTTGGGCCTCCAACTCAGTGGATTCAATTTTTTGATCTTTTGGTTTCGACCATTTTGTAGCAAAAGAGCTCAGAAAAACGGTCCACTACAGTGAATTTCCTTAAAACAGCCCTGGAGAGTGCCAGGCCTCGGTTATTGTGGCAGAGGG